CGAGGGACGCGGGGCAGCGGGCCGACGCCGCCCGAGAAGCGAGGGCGCGGCGCGGACTCCAGAGCCACCGACAGGGCACCCCGCTCCGCCGGCCCTGCCTCCCTGCCGACGCGCTCCTATGACATCACAGCGCGGAGCCGAAGGCCCCTTTCCGCGCCTGTCGACCACAACGATGCCTGCGCAGAAGTGGCAGAACCTCGCGTCGGAATCTCTCCTCTTCCAGCTTTCGGGCGTCGCGCCGAAAGGCTCAGCGCTTCTGCGGGGCGCCGCCGCGCCCTCTCTGGCCTGCCTCTGCGCTGCCGCCGCTCGGTTCGGAGCCGGCACAGCGGCGGGCAGCCCGGCGCCGAGGGAAGCGGCGAAGGGGAAGGAGTCCTGCCTTTCCTGGGCTGCCCGGGGCGGGGGGGGGAGCGGTCACGTGGCTGCCATGGCAACGCGGCCCGCCCGCGCGACGGCCCCTCCCCGTCCCGATCTCCATGAGGCGGAAGCGGCCTCCGGGGCTGTGGCTAGCGATGGCCGGCGCCCTGCTGGCCCTGCTGGCCCTCCTCTGGGGCTCGCAGGTGGGCGGCGGCCGGGGCTGCGCGGTCCGAGGGAGGGAGGGGGGGAAGCGCGGGAGCCGGCCCGCTCGTACCGGGGGAGGGAGCTGGCGGCCGGCCGGGAGGAGCGCGGAGCCCAGGGGCGCGGGCAGGGCGCCGGGAGCCGGTTCGCCCTGGTGCTTTCCTGCGCCTCTCCTGGCTTCGGTCTTTTTAGGGGGAGGCTTCTTGATGTGGCCCTACCGCCCTTCGGAGGTCAGGGCGTCGGCGGGGGGATCCTTCTCCAGGGGTTTCCGAGCTCTGCTTAAAGGAGGGAAAACTTCATAATTTGTGGGTGAATAACTTTGCGCTTCTTGCTCTCGGATTTTCTCCCTGCTTAATTACTCTCGGTTTTCATTCATGATAGTCTAGTCTTTCTTAAGCTGTTCGTAGGTCTCTGTCATCAGCTTACCCCTACTTCTGGCAAGGCAATTAACAGAAACGTTAAATGGCCCTGGTCCTTCAGGGTCACCACTGGTTACTTCTTAGTTCCAGCCTGATCTTTCCGTTTCGGTGCTTAGATCTCCATCCAGTACTGGCTGCAGCACAGCTGCGCTTAGCTTCCATTCTTCTGTTGGAAAAATAGAAGAAAAAAGGTGGAAGATTATTTTTTTCCATTATCCTTAAAAACATATACATTGACCTGAGTTTTGCTCTTCCTGGTATCTTACGCTTCCCCATTTCTAAGATGTAGTTTTCTTTCTTGACCTGTATTTTCACTTTATTCTGATTTTTCTTCTTATTACTTTCATATCTTCTTGCAGTGGTTGTTGATTCTGTTGCATTTGGAACCTTCTCTACTATTTTCCTCATTTTGGAGGATGATTTACAGATAGTAACAGCAACTCCGATGTAGGAAATTTCAGGGTGTGTTTTTTTGCCTTCTAATTCCGGAGCTCCCCAGTCCAAAGGACTTCATTAGCTAATTTCCAGTTGGTTGAAATTTCCCCAATTGTAGTCTAAAACCCTAGCTACAAGCCTATTTCTGTTTATATATCTTCTTAATTTAAATTGAATAAATCTATTTATGATGCTTCAGTATAAAGTTACTTTCTACTGCGGGTTCTTCTGATCCCACCATCATGGGATTTAACTACTAATGGATATTTATTTTTGTATTTTCAGGTTTTAAAAGCATTTGATTACTCCTCTCCTTGGAAGGGACAGCAACAGATGTACAAGCTGGACATAGGCTGGCCTAAAATTCCAGACTACTTCACTGGTCAAACATTTTGTGTTGCTGTTGACTCTCTTCATGGTTTGGTCTATGTGGGACAAGTGAGTGAGAATACTATATTTCTCTCCTTGTTAACCTAGTGCCTTTAAAGTGTCTGGTTGAGATTAAGATAAATATATATGTGTGTGTGTATATGAATAATTATTGTATTAAAATTAGTGAAAATACAAGAATAGCGATCTCTGCTATATGCATTTTTTAAAGCAGTTCTGGGACTGTACTTGCTTGTGCTTTTAAAAGCATTAAATTTCTGTGATATGAATGCATGATCCAACTTAACTGAGTTACAGTAGCTTCTTCTCTAACTGTAAGGTAAACTGTGTTTCTGGGGCAACTGACTAGTCCCCTTGCACTCTTCCAGCTTTGTCCCATGAAATCAAAAACACACAGCTCTACCAGCCAGTTAGAGTAATTGGAGTTCAATTATTTGCTTTACCAGTTCCATGCATTGGTATCTCTAGGTCACGGATAAGACATTCTCTCCATGAAAAGTGGTAGGATTTAATTATAAAGCACAGTATGAGTACCTGAGTGCCATGCAGCTAGTAAGTATGGTTACAGTTTTTCATGCCTGTGTTATGCTTGGCATATTTTTCAGCAAGAACATAAAAACACCATTGAAAATGAAGACCAAGATAGCTGTAGGAGCTTGGCTGCTCTGAAAATTGGCATTTATATGATTTAAGTTGAAAGTCTAGAAGGAGTGGAAGGTTTTGCATGCTAAACTTAGACCTTTCTCTGTCTCTTTTAGCTGGAAAAAAAATGAGATCAAGCAGACAGTCTCAGGACACTCTTATGATTCATGAAATGTTGCAAAAACCTTAGAAAGAGGAATTTTCAAAAATATGATTACTTGCTTAATGTGTTTTTCTTAATAGACCTTTTTTTGCCTCTTCAGAGGGGAGAGAATGTACCAAAGGTACTTGTATTCTCAGAGGAAGGCTATTTTCTTTACTCCTGGAATAATACAGTTGAAATGCCTCATGGTATCTTTGTATGGAACACCGCAACAGATAGTTCAGTATGGATCACAGATGTTGGAACAGGTATGCATGGTGGTGATATGAGAAGTATTAGGTGGGGAAGAAAATGCTAATATTGCAGATATTACTTTAAACAACTCATTTATTTAAGTCTCTCAAACAATTCTGAGACAGATCTGTGTTTTTCTTGCCATGAACAAACTTCTCAGGTGATGCACAAAATACTCTGAAGGTTCATGAGTTGTGCTGTGTGTCTGCTTATAGCTTCTGAACTGAGTAAGCAAGGGGTTTTTTTGCTTTGTTTTTTTGGGGGGTTTTGGTTGGTTGGTTGGTTGTTTTTTTTCCTAGAAGAAGTGTCAGGGGAAAAAAAAATCTTCTGGCTAGATTTATCTTCTGTCCTAGGTTTGGTCGCCCTAATACAATGGATGAATATTGTTGTAGCCTATGGATTTACTGACCCACAGTCATATTCTCATTATAGAATTTTGTCTCTTTGATTTATTAATATCACTTGTGAGTATCAGGAGATTTTATTTTTTAATCTTTGTAATCAGTTGTAATACTTACATTTTTGTTTTAAGATGTTTTTGCACTCTTTTTTTTCTTAATTCAGGGAAATATGGGCACACCGTGAAACAGTATAGCCCTTCGGGTAAACTTATGCAGATCTTGGGCACGCCAGGTAATGCTGGTTCAAGTTTGATTCCCCTACAATTTGATCAACCAGCAGAGATCTTCGTAGAGGAAAGTGGAGATATCTATGTTGTGGATGGAGACGGAGGAATGAATAACAGATTGCTCAAACTATCCGACGGTATGGAAAAATGAACTTCCACAGTAGTTGACCATTGAAAATTGAATTTTAAATAACACAGCTTGAGAATACTTTTAAGCAAGGACTAGGTAGAGCTGTCATTTAACATGAGTTTAAAGACTTTGTTGCATCAGGTCCTGTTTTACTGGTCGTCACTTCAGGAGAAATCTCCTAATCGTTTATGACAAGAGGCTGAGATAATGAGTTTGTTCAGCCTTCAAGAGAGAGGCTAAGGAGGATTCTTATTGCTGTCTTCAAGTCAGTAATGGGAGGGTATAGAGAAGACAGAGCCACACATTTCTTGGAGATGCACAGTGAAGAATGAGGAACACTGAGCAAAAGATGCAAGGGGGGGGGGGGGAATTCCAGTTTGATTTTTGGAGGGAAAGATTCACAGTGAGGGTGATCAGACAGTGATCAGACAGTTTGCACAGAGAGGGTGTGCAGTCTCCACTCTTGGAGATGCTCAAAACTTGATGAGTTATGAACAACCTGATCTAACTTTAGAGTTGGATTTGTTATCAAGGTTAGTCCTGCTTTGAGAAGCAGGTTGGACCTGATGGTGTCTGGAGATCTTTTATACTTAAATTATTCCGTGATTCTAATGAGCTTGCTCATATTCCCCAGTTAGATGGTCAGTGTTGGATAGGGCTGTGAGTGAGGAGTCTGCATGTATCTGCAGGTGGGGAAAAGTGGAGGAGCTACCATTTCTCCTTTACGCTATCATGAAACAGTCCGTGTGCTAATATCTAGTTTGCAAAATTGTAAATTGTTAAAACTCAAAACTGACTGAAAACTGCCAGGTAACAAATGTAAAAAATCAATTTAGTAAACAAATGAATATCATAATCATCCAACTGTTTTTTTTTTTTTTTTTTTTTTTTTAATACAGTGCTTAACAGAGCCTTGGACAATGGCTTTTGTGCAGTAGTGGCTACATTTCTGTAACCGTAATTCTGAAACCACTAATAACAATCCAGTAGTCTCTGTAGTAGTTCCACTATTTCTTGGGTTTATGTATTGGGAGTACTGTGTTTAAAAAGCCTGGGTTTAGAAATTCCACCTTTTAAAAATTAATCAAAGTTTGCAAGGGAATGACTTAAAGTTATTCTGTTTGTTGTTTTCTTACTGTGATTTTTTGACTTTTATTTTTCATGGTGCTCACTGTTTAGATTACAAAGAGATATGGCTGACTGGAACAAATGGGACTGGCATCGGTCAGTTCAAGATTCCTCACAGTGTAACAGTGGATCCTTTTGGACGGGTAAAGAATAAAGGGAGAATTTTTTTTTCATCTTCCAACAGACTCGTTTACATATATTTGAACAAAACAAACTGTATTTCTTTTTTAATTGAACTATTGTGATCTGGGTCATTTTATGTGGGTTACAGTTTTCGATGTGATAGTGGTCATAATTTGAAGTTTCACGCTACAGATCCTAGTGAAATAGCTGGCTACAAGGTTAACACAAGGGTTCTGTCTGGTTACATTGTCAATGTCCATGCAACAGCAAACTGCTCCTCCTGCAGTTTCTAACAGGTTGCCATTGTGAGAGTACAAGAGAATTATGTTCTGTAATAAATATCTACCCAAGCACTTACGTTCCTTCAGGGGACTTTAATTTCATATTTGGAAATTCCAAATAAGCTTAAGATGATAGTAAGGCTCTAGCTAGGTTGTGGACATCGGTCCTTTTCTACATGCAGCTCAAGGCATTCAAGAGTCTACTTCTGCCAGGTGTTAATCGTAGCCTGGTTTTTGCTCTCCTGCTCTTGTAGAGGAATTATGCGGTTGCTCCTTAATCTATTTCAGGGAAAATAAGACTGCTTGGTTAAAACGTCTTAAATCACTAGTTTGAGCTAATTCTGCTCATGCTGTCTGAACCAGTATAAGAGGCGTATATAAAAATCACTTCTCTGCCAAAACTGGCAGGGTGGGAGGGAGAAGAGGAGGGACATGGCCGCTTTGTGTTGAAGGGTAACCATGAGTATATACATTCAAAGACAGCAACTGTGATGGGCTACGATTTTATTGCCAATGTGGTGTTGATCATCAGCCTAGGTTACAAATAATTGTCAGCTCCTAAGAAATTTAGGAGACTGCTGTAGTAGTGTTTCATTTAAAACCAGTCATGAAAGATCTCAGGTCAACTTTTTTATTGCTCCCTTTTGGGTGATATCCCAGAAAAGTCATGAAGTTTACTCATCGGACTGACGAGTTGTCAACAGCTGAAATTTCAATGATTGTAATACAAGAGAGGCCTTCACTCCAACTGTCTAATGGTATTGCTAGCTTGCAGTGTTTGTGAACCCAGTTAGCACAGAGTGGAACAGAGATAAGCTCTTTGATTAGACAAAACATGCTGAAAATGCTCTTAGTGTTTAAGTTGCTCAATATTTATAGTAGTATTAGGCATATCCGAGTGTTTGCAGATGCAGTCATCGTAGGCCTGGATCATGAAATGAGACTACTGTTGCAAAACAAATTGTTAGCGGGCGACAGACCAGTTGATCTTTAGAATTACATAGGTGGGAATATGTCCTCACTGGGGCTGGGGAAAATCCTACCAAATATATCCATATCGTAGCCACAAAAATGAAGAGAAGGCACCGATTTCTCTGTTAAAGTAGTATAAAATAATTTGTGTATCTTAACTGTGTGGCGGTTTTATTTTATATCTGGAAGTCATATCCACTTATTTAGTTTTGAATGTGGAGGTACACTCTTCCAAGGTGTACTTCTTTTTTACTACAGGATATTTTGCTTGTGTAAGAAACGAATGTGTTTGATTTGTTCTATTTGTGAACAGCCATGATTTTTGTTCCTAACAGGTATGGGTTGCAGACAGAGACAACAGAAGAATCCAAGTTTTTGATAAAATGACAGGAGAATGGCTCGGGTCTTGGAGCAGCTGTTTTTCAGAAGATGGACCCTATTCTGTCAGGTATTGTTGAACAGTTCTTCCAGAAGCATGCAATTACATAAAGAAAGCGTACTCTTACTGATGAATTAAAATGTTGATATTTAATGCCTGATGACAAAGAGTTAATCAGTTTAACTAATAGGGTGCTGGGCCCTAATCATATGCAAAGATCTGCACAGCTGTATCTTGACAGGGAAATCCTGGCTTTGTAACAAGCCCCATGGATTTGAGTGCAGGATTGGGAACTTCATTTTAAAATTGTTGTGTGTTGTCGACCTTACTGTTGCTGCTTTTACAAGAAGAGACGTTGTCTCAAATGAGTTTTCTGTAGCATAATCTGTCTCAAGGAGCAGCAATGTGTAGAGCAAGGCTTACAAGTTAATTCTCAATATTTCGCTGCATTTAGTCTGTTGTAGCCTTCAAAACCTTGACTATTAAGGAGGTTTTCTTTGTTTTAAAGTGCATGGTTATGTTAAAATGAGATGTCATATGGAGTTCATAATTCAAAAATACATTTCTGTCTTTCACAGATTTACTGCCGATTACAAATACCTGATTGTAGCTCAGCTGAATATCAACCGGTTAGCAATCTTGGCGGCACCACTGGTTGGCTCTATTGGGGACTGTGTTATGGTTAACACAGTCCAACTGGCAGATGAAACCAAACCACACCTTGTGGATGTAGACATGAAGAGTGGAGCAGTCTATGTTGCAGAGATTGGAGCCCAGCAAGTACAAAAATACGTACCCTTAAGCTGATGGTTTCCCACAAGTGCCGTGGCACAAGCTGTGTAATGTGTAAGACCTATGACCACATTTCCTTGAGTTTTCTGTTTCTTTAGACAAGCACGGAACATTGTGCTCCCAGAACTGTAGACCTAAGAACCTGCCCTAGCTGTTCTGCAGTCCTGGAGAAGTACTTGGTCTTGAGCTGTTACTCATTTTAGTAATGCTATGGTGGCTTTTGCTTTTGTTGCTGGGAATTCTGAAATCACTTTAAGCATCTTAATTTTATTATATAAAACTTTACAAACGCAGCTACTGTTCTTAAATGTGTAGGGTCATCTTGGGGCCCCTCTACTTAGCCTGTGTGTGTTGCTAAATGAAGGTCAGAACTGTCTGAAAGAAGTGTATAAATGATTTCCTGGGAAGTGAGTACCTCATTTTAATGTTTCTTCACTTGTTTTTTTGAATCATTGTGCTGATACTGCCCAACACTGAATACAGAGATGCATTATGATGTTGAATAAGATGCTGCTGGATACTGGTGTCACTGCTGATACTGGCATCTGCCTTAGGTGGTTAATGACATAAGCATTGAAATCTAAGTTTTCAGCTCTAGCTAAAGTGGTAAAGTCTGTAATAAGCTTATTAAATTAAATTGATATCAGGCACTTCAAACTAAATTAAAAAGTATGTGCACAGCAGCCAAGTACTGATTCTTAACTAAATCAATTCTTAACCTGATTTGATTGATATCAGCATGAGTTTTCTGTTCCATAAGATTTCATAGTGGAACATATTGAAGTTCAACTCGTTTAAGCTCCTCAAGATAAACAAATTGCAATTTGCTAGGGAAGTCTTAATCAGCATTAGGGACTGGGAGACACATGATTTTCTCCCAATATTATTGAAGCTCTGTCAGTTAACAGGAGTGCATCTGTTTTGATTTGGGGATTTTTAACTGTTTTATATCCAGCACTTAGACTTCATCAACTCCATTAATGTCTAGAATTAAGTTTCTTACGCTATATCCTAGCAGATGTCCAAGCAGAGTCCAAGCTCTGTCCTAAAAAACGCTGTCTCTTTACATTCCCAGTCCAGAGTGGTTTTGTTTTCTTTACATGTTACTACAAGATTTTAAGTTAGTTTCTGGGTCAGCAGATGGAAAACTGTCCAGAAAAGTCAGATTCATATGTTCTGTAGAAACTAACTCGGCTGCGGAGCCTGATGGCCTGATTTCAGTACTATTTGAGATGAATGCACTAAATGTGAATGCTTCTTGTTGTTGGCTACATCCACAATAACAAAAGCAGATCTAACCTGGCTGCCCTCATGCAAGCCTTAGAACCAGAACTTCAGGGTTATATGCTAGCAAATATGATCCATCATTCATATGGTCTCGAATGGGAGCTAGTAAGCAATATTTATTAGCTGAAAAAGTAGCAGTACTTCCTCTAGACCTAGATGGATAGGTCCACATCGCTTTGCAGTGTGTTGTGTGGATTTTCTAACTAGGTCTCCACTAGCTCAGGGATCTCTGTGTGCAATTTATACCTATTTCTCACCTACCCAAGGTGGATTTCTTTTTAAAAATATTACACTCAAATATAGTTTATGATATTACAGTGTCTAGGTGGTGTAAGGGGTCCAGGCACATCCATCCTTCCTCACCACACCCTCTTCTTATTTATTTTTTCTTTGTCACATCCATTTGAAACTGGACTCGAAGCTCTCTGGGAGCGTGCTTCTGCGTTCAGTAAAGAAGTGCACTTTCGGATGTTGACGAGTAAGTTATTCCTACAAGGTTCTGTTTGCTGCGTGGATCTGCTCTCAACTCTCTTTTTACATGGGCTTTTGCAGCCCCTAGAAATGGGGAGCATTCATCCAGTTTTGTCCGGCTTTGCTGAAGTAGGCCATGGTGCCAAAACATGCCTTGCCTCTAGGCATTTTGGTATCTGTGATAAGAAGGGATGCTCATTATTAACTAGTATGAGATGCTTAGACTCCTTTTTACCTCTGCGCCTATGACCAGACTGAGAAAATGATTGATGTGTGCACTAACTTGCTAATTCTCTGAAGGTTTTCTTATGTATCATCTTGAAACTCATTTCTGAAAAATTGCATAGTAGGATAATTTGATAAAATAAATCGAGAATTTCCCATTATGAAAGGCTTGGGCGCTTCATTTCTGTACTAATATCAATACATTCCATTGCAATGGATTACTTTTCTAAATATGGGGTCCTCAGTGCTTTAATAAGGTATTTAATAATTTCTGTTACCAACATTCAAATGTAATCTAAAATTCTGTGTTATCTTTACCCATTACTATTTCTGTGGCCCATCTCTTATGCATTCTAATTCGTGTATCAAAAAAGGCACATAAATCTCTCCCAGATGTTTTCCTCTGAGTAATTAGTAAAATGGGATGATGAGTTACATAAGTACCTAGTATAAAAAAAAACATTGAAACTGTATGCCCTTTTGACGCTAATAGGAAAATTAAAAACAAACTAACAAAACACTTCTTAACAGGGAATCAGGTTTTATTTCCAGAAAAGATTTACTGAGCAATCTGTTTAGTTTTTAGGAGATCAAGAAGGGACTTCTCTATGGGTTAGAAATACTTGCAGAAGAAGAAAAATAACATACTACAGTGTTAACTAGACAAGAAAGAAAACATAAGGTGATTGCTAGAACCCCCCAAAAATCTAATTTTAGTTAATAGGTGTCAACTTTTAAGTGTGAGAAGTAATCACTGGAGTATCCAAGTAAAGGAAATAGGAATATTCCATGTTTCGATGTCTCCAACTTTGCAGACTTTTTTTTTTCCTTTTTTTTGTTTTTTAAATTTATCCTTTTCTTTGGATAAGTACCTAGATTGTTAACTGGATGACATTCCAAGGAGGTAAGACCAGGTCTATTAATACAGTTCATCTTGATTTTTCTGTGATGCTAACCAGCCTTTTTTTTGTGTTATTGTAGTCAGCAATTGATTAACAATATCTGGCCAAAACAAAAGAAGCCTGAATCAGGTTTGTGCCATGCAAGATAAGTTTAGTGAGGCTGAGCTGTCTCAATAAAAACTGAGGGGGAAGGTGTACCGGTATGCCTGTAAGTCTGCTCATTACTGTAAGTTCACCACCTTAAAGTGGTTATTAACCTTTTCGAAGCATTAAGTAGTTAGTTATCTTAGTTTACACTTACTTTCTTAACAATTTGTAACCTGAGAAGCTTTCACAAGTCATCTATCACCAAGAAGTGTTTGCAGTCACTGAAGTTGCTTGTATAAAACATAAGAGGGCACCAAACCCCTGCTGATGCTTGGCATACTCAGTGTAGCTATATACTAGCAAATGTAAACAGCTGGTAATTTCTGAACGTTTGGAGTAAGTCAACAAAGATAATGAACTGCTCCAGACTTCCTTTCTCTTTTCAAAATAGATTGCTTTAAACATAAGCAGATAATTGTATTATAGTCACTTTGGCTTATTACTACTGGATTTATGTCCATCTTTTATTTATTTCCATTGGTTTTCCTAGAAAAAAAAATCAGTAATTCAGTGTCCAGAGACAACTGGATATGGTGAATTGATTCTTCTATTCCTTATGTCATTGATTTTCAATGGAATTACTTCTGATATGTTGCTTTGGAAACATAATAATTTATAACTGTATAACTGTAGCAGCATAATTATACCAGAGTAATGCCAGTATAT